GAGCCCAGACAGAGCTGGGGCCAGGAGGGGATCGGGTAGGCAGCGACGGGAGCCTGGGGCTGTTCTGCCACAGGCAGGAGGCTGGTGCTGGGAGGTGACAGGCATGAGTGGGGCTGAGGGGTGCTGGGCAAGTGCTGGCCCATCTCTCGGGCCATGAGCCACCCTGGGCAGCCCTGAGCTGCGGCGGGTGCCTGCCGGGCAATTGTGAGTTACGCTGTAGGTGCAAAGATTAATAACCGTGGTGCGCTGCTGCCAGCCGGTATGATTAAACTCTTGATTAGAAGCTCAAACTACAGTGCCCTGCTAATTCCCCCGCTCTCACGTGCCGTTAATTACCTGGCACGGGTGGCAGTGGGCCTGGGGCTCACAGGGCTCGGTGCCGTGCAGGTAGGGATGCAGGGGCTGCCCCGGGCTGCCCTGGGGTGCTGGCCAGTCTCCTTGTGTGCAGAGGGGAGATGCTGGCTTTGGGGACAGGACCCTGGTGTCCTCCGTTTGTGGGCCTGCCCAACCCAGGCTCAGGGGGCTGTGGGTCCCAGGAGAGGATGGCCACGTCCCCACAGCAGTTCAGGATGGCGCAGGCCGTGTGGTTTTGGGGAACTGGGGTTTGGCGGGTACAGGGGTGGGAGGGGAGAGGGGGTGTGGCTCGGAAGCAGCACCATATGGGCCGCAAATGCCAGTGCACAACACACAGCCGTTGGAGAGGCTCTGCACATGCGGCTGTGTGGCATGAGGAGCGAGGTGCTCTGGGGGCTGGGAGAAGGGGCTGGGGGCCCTGCTGCGCCCTCGGGGCCATGCTGCCCGCTCTGGGCTGGGCGCCAAGTCCAGGCTGTGGGAAGAGTTAAGGGTATCAGGGTGGCCCTGGGCCACTGAACAGACATCACCCCTCTCTTGCCCCTCGGCTATGGGGTGCAAACAATCCCTGTCCATGGCGGAGCGAGTGGGGCCTTTGGCCTTTGGCCCCACAGCTGGGGAAGGACAAGGGAAGTTGCCTGGTTCCCATGGGATCATGGCGCAGAGGCAGGACCATGGGCCTGCCTGCCTTTTCGTGGCACCTCTTAGCACCCCTGGGGGACAGGTACCTGTGACACTGAGCCCGCGCTCAACACCGCTAATAACCTGCTCCTGTCCCATCCCGTCCCATCCCATCCCATCCCATCCATCCCACCCCATTCCATCCATCCCATCCTGTCCCATCCCAGCTCACCCCACCCATCCCATCCCACGCTATCCCACTTCATCGTATCCCACACCACACCACCCCATCCCCTCCTGTCCTGTCCCAGCCAGGGCCAGTGGTCACGGCATAACTCAGGGGACCCTGTCTCACCCCAGTGCTCTGTATCTCGCATAGGTCCCCACCACCTCAGCCTGCAGTGACAGCAGGGCTGCCGTGGCTCTCAGGGGGCACAGCCCGTGGGGCATGGCCTCCCTTTGGGGGTCACCTCCCGGGGTGAGGGGCTGGTACAGGGACGGTGGGGACAGATGGTGTC